TATTGTTGGTCAGATATGTGAGCACCACATGAATTGTGCTACCAGATAGATGCAGCAACGCACAACTGATCCGCGAATTTCAGCTCACTTTTGATATTGTGTTCGAATGGGTAGTGGAACCCACCGGTGTTTCTTATTGTGGTAAACGTATTGAAGAAGCCAAGAGAATTTTTTGATGAAACGTTTAGATCCAAGACATTCTTGTATTATTTAATGTTCCCGATAGGTTATTAGGACACGCAACTTTGAATGGTATGTAGTGGCTGGGCTGCACGCTGGGCTCTACATAGGATCTGATTGGCTGATCAATAAGCGAAATAGAAACAGTTGCTAGTTGCAACAGTTGCTAGAACATTGGAGTATCGCTGTGTCCAATCCTGATTGGTCGATTTATCTTAATGCATGCTTGTATTCAGCCTTGACTAGCTGACTCAGTTTACTATTACGCAAGCGGCTTGTTCGCTCTCACTCAGTCCATTTGAGTTGTGTGGGGTGAGCTGAATGTGAATGTGAATGAGAGTTAAAACTAGAATAGATAAAAATAAATAATTCCCATTTTATTCCACCCAATGTATTGTCGAAGAACGATCGTGTTAAGTAGAGATCAACTGTACGATATTTTCATTCTGTCCAATACGAGAAAATTCACAGAACGGCGTTTTATTTTCCGCTTATCCTCTTTTCATGAATCGGACCCAAACCCCGGAATAAAAAACGGACAGACCAGCCAGTTTCAGAATGATTCGCTCAGTCACGTGCTCCAGACAGTCGTTTTAGCCGACCAGGTGAGTATTCTTGCTTTCCTTCTCTGTATTTCCGTTTTACTAGTTTATAAACCAATACACAATCGGTAACAAGCTTTTGATATCATATGAATAATTTCAGTTATTACGACTCATATCTTGTAGAGAAATGACTTGTCGACGTTTAATAAGATTAGTTGCGTAGCGTCAAAGTGAAATTAGCATCTGAAATTGGGGAGATGTTAAGAAGAAACCTCATTTTTGTTGATCCTCGGGTACAACACCTATTTGTCTCTTCTATGTGGTGCAGAGAAAGGAGGAAATTCAACAAAAATACCCTCTATTTGAACATAACTCTCCACGCTGCATATCGCCAGATGGGTTGTAAAGACCCACTGGGTTTTAATTGCTCACGATCGTGCCCGGACAAAAGTGTTCGATCTTGTGATCAGCTGAGCTTCCTCCTTAGGTAATGTTTGATGAAACAGATGATGACTCCGCTAACCCAGTGGGGCCTTATGTGGTTTGAAACTCCAAGCCGATTCGGGGATTCGGTTGCCGGTTTCCATCACTGAACAGCAGATTTTCGCGACTGTGGGGTTTAATTCGTCTACTGATCTTTATACAAATATGTGTTGTAAAAAAAGCTATACAAGTATGTCAATTGGTATCTGTATCTTTGAATTGCGTAAATATCAGAAAATTTGATGAGATTTTAAACAAACTCGTGTAGGCCGCCTTCGAGATTACACGAGAATAGAGGGAAAACGGGAAGCAAGTGTGATAAAGGAATAGACAAAATGATAGCACACTGTGATCTGCAGACCTAAAATGTTAGTTAAAAAACTAATTCATGAAATGTTCCACCATTCGCGCAATTATAGTTACCTGATTTTACTAAAAATCAACGGATGATGGTGGGTGCAGGAAGAAGCGTTTATTGGGATTGGGTAACGGTGTTTGAACACGGATTTGAGAAATACTTTGTTCAAGCTGTGATACTCATTGTTTAAGATTCTATGGGTAAATCTTTCATATGCATCGATATGCTTGCATACAATAAAATCAATCACACTTTACCCAATGAATCGGGAAAGCGTTTGGTGTATCTGTATATCACTATGAAAAACCGTTTTCTTTCAAGCCAGGAAAATAGTGCAAGGAAAAATACAGCCAAAGACGGAAGGCGCATGGGACCACAAATTAAACGATTGTATTCGGGGGCACAGGAGGCTTTTAAAACCAGAGAGGATAAAAGCTCTCACATACTTTTTTTTGACCATTTCCCACATGACTAGATTGTGTGACGGAACAACGTCGAAGTATTTCACAGAATCGGTTTTCGGTATTAAGTTAACCTTGACAACGAGTTCTGGTAGATCAATAAAATAAAAGCTTGATAACGTGGACCGTAATTAAGATTGAAGGGAAATTCAACGCATTTGTAAACACTAAACATAGAAGGTTGAGGCAGAGATCAACCAAAGATGTTGTTTTGATTGCCTTGAAGCTGGCGAAAAGATCCATCGTTACTGGAGTAGCACTAAATCAATATTTCGTTGGCATAGTTACAGGCGATAGAGTTGAAGGAATAGGGAGCTTTTTTATATACACGAAAAAAGGAAAACGGCAATCTTACAAACCCCAGAGATTAAGTTAAAAGATGAAGATATTTTATCATTGCATAGATTCCATCCTGAAAGTTCAGGTAAAAGTTTAACACGTTGAATACCAAGCTGCAGTCAGAGAGACATTAAATGATAATGTGATGGCTAAGCGAACCAAAAGCTTTGCATAATCGAAGAAGATAGAGCAGACAGCTGCATTACTAATCTAAAACGCAAAGCACAAAATGAGCAACATAAGCAACGGTGCTAAGAGTCTAAAGCAAAATTTTGTGACAAAGCTATAGGAGATTGTGAGCAAGCGTGCAAGCAACTCTAAGGTAAGGCGTCGCCTGCTTGGTAATGATTCGACGGAGAATCATTTTTCCATCGAATTCAGATAAATGGGCTTCGCTGGTTAGTACACGTATTACATATGCTCAGCCATCGTCTACCGCACGACGCCTTATTCGCCGTTTCAGCTCCAGGCTGGAAGGAACAACGTGGAGGCGAACAGATGACGTGGAAGCGGAGATTGAAGAAATACACATGGCAATTAGGTAGAACGGGTGTCTCCCGTCTTGCAGGTTAGGGTCCAAAAGACTCTGCAACTGATTGGTTGGAGACAATGTAGGATAAGGCTGCGAACCGTTAGCATGGTGTTCTTGTTGGCAATTCTTGTCAAGTCATAATGCTTGAAACGTTATCTAAGCACATTTAGATTGTGTAGTTTGTCTGTTGACCATGGAGGTTCATTTTCTTTGCCTTCCTCCAATTGGGCCCAATCTCTCTCTCTCTCTCCATCTTGTGCTTTATAGCTTAATTTGTATATATTGGCAGGGATCAATAAAGTGCGTTTCACTT